AAGAAAAGAAACAAGAAGAGAGATTACAGCAGTTGTTGGAGGAAAAGAAAAGAAACAAGAAGAGAGACAACAACAGTTGCAAGAAAACCTGCAACAGTGGCAGCTGGAACAGCAAAATAAACAAGAAAATTACAGCAGTTGTTGGAGGAAAAAGAAAAGAAACAAGAAGAACAAGAAAAGAAACAAGAGAGATTACAACAGCTGTTGGAGGAGAAAGAAAAGAAACAAGAAGAGAGACTACAACAGCTGTTGGAGGAGAAAGAAAATAAACAAGAAGAGAGACTACAGCAGTGCTTGGAGGAGAAAGAAAATGAACAAAAAAGAGAGACTACAACAGTGGTTGGAAGAGAAAGAAAATAAACAAGAAGGAAGTCTCCAACAGTTGAGAGAAAGCCAGAGTACACAAATGAAGACATTAGTAACTTTCAAAGCGAATTGAAATCATTAAATAATGATTTACTGTCTTTTACACAAGGAGGTGATATTAGCCATCGACCTAATCAGCCTCAGACAACGGGAAGTTCCTTCCAGACCCCGCAGCTAAACCCTAATGCAGACATCTTCAGTCCTGTTAGAAGTCACATCCCAGCTATGAATGTCAGCAATACGGGTGATTTAGTACGAAGGAAGCCACAGGAATTCGATGGGAAGGCACTATGGGAAGCATATAGAGCACAGTTTGAGCTACTGGCAGAGATGAATGGATGGACAGAGTAGCAGAAAGCAGTATATCTGGCAACGAGCTTGAAGGGACTACCACTGGAAATACTTGGACAGTTGTCAGCAGATGACAGGCACAACTACAGAGCACTGGTAACGGCTCTAGAACTCAGATACGGAACCCAAAATCAGTCTGAAGTCTACAGGGCTAGATTTAGGACGAGAGTCCGTGCTAAAGGGGAGAGCCTGCAAGAGCTGGTACAGGATTTGGAAAATATGGCACACAAGGCCTACCCAACTGCGCCACCTGATCTCCTCAAGTTGTTGCTGAGGGATCAGTTTGTAGATGCCTTGGACAGTCCACAACTGAAGATACAAGTAAAGCAAGCACACCCCTCTACTACGCAGGATGCAATGGCCAGAGCTCTTCAATTATAATTCTATGTTAAGTCCAGCACAGAGGTACCAAGGTTGGTACAGTTGTCAGGATTCAAGGCCAGAAAAGGGCAGCTTTCAGAGAGGTTTGAGGAACTTTGCTGGCACTGTAAGAAACCTGGGCACAAGAGAGCTCAATGCCGGCAACTTCAACACAGAGAAGATGCCACGGCAGGAAAGGCTGCTACCCAGAAAGGTTGTTGGAACTGTGGAGAGCAAGGACATATGAGGAGCTAGTGTGAATTAACTATTTATGTGAAATCACTTGGCAAGTATTTGTTCAGAATTTGTTTTAAAGACTTATAACTTTTATAACTTCCAAAAATCAAATATAGTAGGAAGACAACCTGTTCTGGCAAAAAATAACTAAATTCAGATGTATATAATAATAGGTAAATACACAATAGCGAAAACGTTTATGTTGTTGAAACATAAAAAGGACGTTTAAAATGGTCAAATAAATTATGCTATTTTTAAAATATAAGTTAACTTGATCATAAGATAAACTGGGAATCAGCCAGGATAATAAATAGAACTACCAATTATGTCAAAATAAGAATTCTAGAAAGGTCGTTCATCCAAAGGTGGCCAAACTTCAACACAACTGGAGATCACTTTATGTTGAACCCATTTCTGACATCATATGCATTTCAAAGATTTGGGACTTCCGTTATAGAATAAGCAGTGTATATATTTCTATGAACAAACGTTGGACTGTTTGTTTGTTATGAATTTCGCGCAAAGCTACACGAGGGCTATCTGCACTAGCCGTCCCTAATTTAGCAGTGTAAGACTAAAGGGAAAGCATCTAGACGTCACCACCCACCGCCAACTCTTGGACTACTTTTTTACCAACGAATAGTGGGATTGACCATTACATTATAACTCCCCCACGGCTGGAAGGGCGAGCATGTTTGGTGAGACAGGGATTCGAACCCGCGACCTAACCACCTGGCCATGCCGGGCACGTTGGACTGAAAAGGGCATGTGAAATGTCAAAACTAGTATCCATATATGTTTGGTATTGTTCTGTTTGTGTGAATTTAAACTTTATTGTCAGATTTATATATTTTATAGAAGTTAACTTTAATTCTTACGTCAAAGTGTGATTCACTTCAAAAAGAAACTTTACGAATCTCATGAAGTATTTATCCCGTCACTGAAGATGCTAGTCCTTTCAGCCGTGGGGACGATATGATGTGACGGTCAATCTGAGGGTCGGGGGTTCGAATCTCCGTCACACAAAATATGCTCAACCATTTAACTGTGGGGGCGTTATGATGTGGCGGTCAATCCCACTATTCGTTGGTAAAAGAGTAGTACAAGAGATGGCGGTGGGTAATGTTGACTCACTGCCTTCCCTCTAATCTGTCACTCCAAAATTAGGGATGGCTAGCGCAGATTGCCCTCGAGTAGCTTTGCACAAAATTCAACAAACAGAGAAACTCGTTAATGAAGGCCAAAGAATTGATGTTAGGTTTTTTTTTTACTAGCTACTTGTGATATAGTCTATCAGTTTAAAATTATGAACGGCTAGCACAGGTAGTTTTTGTGTAGCCTTGTGCAAATACCCAAAATTAACAAACAAGAAAATATTAATAAGGGCTTTTGTAATATTTATCATAGTAAATTCACGGTATATAGTATAATTCTGTGAGTGAAATAGCATGCGTTATTTTGATAGAAGCGCCTCTGTGCGGATGGAGTGACTATCATGGCGCCCTTTGCAGGGCTGATAACGTTGTTGGGCAGCAATTGTTCGAAAGCCGTGGGTTCTTGTTTATTACTGGCATGTACTTATGTCGGTAGCCTTTACATTTGGCGTACAAAATTTCACAGGTATGTATTAGCAATTTTTATCGTCTTCGTTCATTACATTTTCTGTTTATCGGCATTTATGTCAAACAATAATATTAACTAAATTAGTGCGCGTAAAGTGAGTCTTGACTCAGATTACATGGATTACACTTTAGAAATTATAGTGATGGACTGAATGAGTGTTGTTCGACATTGAGACTGATAACAGAAAATTTTGGAAACTAAAAGATCAACTATAAAGTACAACGTATTATTAAGTATATACTGTATATTAATGAATAAAAAGTCATCATCAGTTTTGAAGACAAACAGTTATAATTATAACTTGTGGTTATACTATTTTGCCTGACCGGATAAATAGTTTGCCATGCCCATTTTTTCCAGATTTACCTAATTATGGATAGTTGAGTGCAGTTTCAATCTTACCTGAATACCAGTTTTTACATATATGCTCCTCATGTAGTTCTTACACACACTTTCAGTTAACCCATAAAAATTAATTTTTTCTCGGCTTGTTTTGTCTCCTTCTTCCATATGATATAGCTAGGAGACTCTGGCAGTTTTATTTATTAGATTTTTATGAGATGAAACAAGCAAAAAAGTTTTGTGATGATTGAATAATTGTACATTTGAAAGTGATGTATGATTGATTGATTCATCATATAACTTATGGGAGTTTTATTTTGTTGGAACTTGTTTTTCATAATGTTATATGTTTTAGTGAACTTCAAGTGCTCTGAACAATATTGTTACTGTAATATTTTAAAGGAAAATTAGCCTTTTGAGGTTCTCCTCTAGTTTTGCTTTGAGAATGCATTTAAGTGTATATTCTAAGAACCAATGAGTAAAAGCATGTGTTAGTGAACTAGAATAAGCAAAAAACACTCAGCCTTTACAATGGCTTGAACTTAACCCTTGACTTGTACTGTTGTTGAAACCATGTGAGTAATACTGGAATTATAACCTAAAGCAAGCTGCTATCCATGTCATCACATATTTTCCCATTACGTTTAGAGGATATTTTCAATCTGAAGGTTTATCAATCTGCAATAAATTGAAAACATTCCTATCTCACTAGGGTTTGAATCTGGTTAGTGATTTAGTACTAGAAAAAAAGGTGGTTATGTGGAAGGGGGCAATTTGCAGTACTTATGTCTTTAATGTTTTGCTATAATTATAAAGGATGTAATTTAATTTTCTATGGTTTTTATTAAAACTGTTTTCAATAATTTGTATAGTTTAGTGTGTGTGACTATGAATTTTGGTTGTTTGCACTAAAATAAGGCTCCGTTCTTGGTTCATGCTATTTTGACAATGCTAGGGACTGGGAGCACTCTCTAACCTGTTCTCCTAGTGCATAGTTTCTGCTACCAGAAAATACTTTTTGATTTAATTTTATCATCAAGGTTACCTTTTTCCATTTGCTGTGATAAACTAATAATCAAAAATATTAATCAAGTGCTTCAGTGAGGACATAAAATGACCAGTTTTTTGGTGTAATCAGTGATTTCACCCACAGCAGTCCTTTTCATAGATTCTACTGAAACATTCAATTTTGACTTAATATGTTACATGGAATAGCCTTCATCAGAAAAAAATTGATTTGTTCACATTTTCCATGTGGTATTTCTGTTTAGGACTCATGAATTGATCACCACACTACTACTGGGAATAGTATGACTGCCTATACTTTTATAGGCATCTGCTGGTGTGGCACTGTCTGGTTGGTTGGATGAGATTCAATCACAATGTAAGCCATTAACATGTGACTGTACTCTGGTTCAATTAATTTTCAGTACAATAGAGAGGGAACAACTCCTTAGTATTTGCATTTAATACTCGTTTTTTTATTCATTCTTACCAGAATTATTCCCAATATGTCTAATTGCAAAATCAGATAATGTTCCTTACTCTTGTGAATATAGATTTACTAATTAAAAATAATACATCTGGGTTGAGTGTACACATGTACTCTGACATGCAAAAAATAATGTAATTTTACAGTTAACAGCACCTCCCTAAATTATAAAAAAGAAAATGCTTTCTGTCAGTCAGATTAAACTGTTAGTCTGGAATATTAACAAGATATTAGCATTCTTTGTTTAATCTGACTGACAGAAAGCATTTTCTTTTTTATAATTTAGGGAGGTGCTGTTAACTGTAAAATTACATTATTTTTTGCATGTCAGAGTACATGTGTACACTCAACCCAGATGTATTATTTTTAATTAGTAAATCTATATTCACAAGAGTAAGGAACATTATCTGATTTTGCTGTTAATCTGGAATATTAACAAGATATTAGCATTCTTCGCAAAATAAGAGGACTGTGATAGGAGCATCTCTGTATAGAGCTCTTAGATCTACACTTTGCTTTTCCTTTTTTAAAATGGATTCTGATAATGTTGATAATTGTGTAAGTGTAGGAATAAGTGAACATTTAATATATACATATATATGAAAGATATATACATGTATGTATATTGTTTTACAGATGATATTTTCATGTGAAATTAAGACTGTTTTACAACACTAAGTTGCTTTGAATTTTGTCTTGTATATTGTACATTAATTACCATGTTTTCGAAAAGAAAACTGTAATTGAGTCAAGTTTTTAATTTTCTCAGGGATCATCCAACCACAATAAAGAAGAGATTTGTGAGTGTCTTGATAATGGGAGTTGTTTCTCCTTTGTTTGTTGTTTTTTGTTCAGAGAAAACATACTTTGGAGAGGTAAGTAAATTCAAATGCATGTATGTGTACATTTTGTGTTTTTTATGTAATTAATTCTTGTGTTGAAGCGTGAGGTATATTTTCAAGATATTTATGAAATTCAATGAATTTTTTAAATCCATAACTTAAAAGTCTGATGTATCTACCAGTTATCATTTTAAAGCATGATAACTTAAAGAAAGAAAGATAAAGACAGGCAATGAAATGTTATGCAGGTCTATACATCTCCACATAACATTTATAATGATCCTGCACAATCAGGCCAATAGTTTAGTAGCAGACTATCTCTTGTTTCACAGATACTAAGTGTGAAATGGGGTGGTGCCTTGTTGTGTAGCTGGGAGAAAATGCCTCTATAATACCACAAGCTTCCAACCAAAAAGTTCTCTGGCATGTTCAGTAATGTGAATCTTGTAACTAGTAACTCAACTACTGAGATGGCAATGTGTTTGGTCATGTTGAGTTATCTACTGCTCCTCTTGAGACACACAGATGCAGTGTTCTTGAACTAGTGATGTCATCACTCATTTGTTTGAGGTACTGTACAGGATAAAAGATGCACAACAAAAAAACACATTTGAATTTTATGTTCTCCAGAATGATCTGTTATTTTCACATAACATTCATCATTTGGACATCGTCACTTGACAAATATTGGTTTAGAACAAAACTGGAAAGATAGAATATAATGTCAAGGTTTTTTTGCTCACGGACCATCTGAATCTTATTTTTGTTTTTATCTCAGCAAACCAAATTTGGATCTATACACTGTGCTGACAGTTCATTTTTATAATTATGCAACCTTTTCGTGGATCACATATTGAGTTCTTCAGTTTTACACACACTTATATTCTATCATATATTTTTTGCCTTTCTTCTTGTTTTGTAAATTATTGCATTTTGAAATGATTGCAACTACTTCTAGAAACCTCAAATAATACACAGTCAAAAAATTTAAATCATTAAAATATTAGCATAGTGTGAATATATTACTTTGTATCTAAGTGCCTTTTTCTAAAATTTTCAAATGTTTCATCACTTAAAAATTTCCAAATGAGGCTGAAAAATTACTTTAAAAAAGTTCCTTTATATTTGGAATTTGAAAATTATCTTTAGTTTTTTACTATTTTAGATATTTAATTATTTATTATTTGGAGAAATAAAATTGTATTTAATACTGTTTGTAAAAAAATAATTAACTTTTTTTGTCTTTTTTAAGAGAGGTAGTCTTCCAACATTACTTGGCTTCAGATGGAAGGGTTTGCTACAAGCTTTTGTCCTTCCTCTAGGCCTAACAATGGTAAGTTTTAAGTAGTGGGCTTAAATGATGTCATACTTTTTTATTGTTGTTTAGCTAGTCATTAAGAAGAAGAAAAAAGACATTTTTGTGATCATTAATTGTGAAAAATATGTTTAAATTTACCCTTTACTTCATGCTAAAAATAGATGTTTTAAATTTGTTGCCACTATGTATTATATTAATCACTTTTAAAAAACCTTGTGCTAATCTTGAACTCTTGAATAGAAAAGATCTCACATTCTGTATTTGTGTAACTAACACAGATTTTGTTTATTACAGTTTTTCTGAAAAACATATAAATGTATTCTATGAGAATTTTCAATCTTTTAGAAAAAATGTTAACTGTTTTAGCTGTGGGTACCTGTTAAGGAAGTAAAAATTGTATAAAGGACAATGTTAGATAATGTTCCCCTTTTTTTGTTATTAAATCCTTTATGCTTTGTGAAGGTTAATAATTGACTCATTTAACTTATGTCTTTAAATTCATAGCTAAGAGTTTCTAAAAAAAGTGGAAATGTGCTGTGTTTTTTATCCCCCTTCTCAGGTAAAAATCCTAAAACAAAATAGCCCAGGTACATCTTTACTACACAAAACATTCAAGCTTTTTTATTGTTTAAGCTATATACAACACAGTTTATGTTACATTTGTACAGTTGATTGTGAAAGTTTAAATGAATTTCAATTATCTAAATTGTGAGTAAAGGTTCTGTAGCTATTTGCTGATTGTTTAATCTAGGTATTTAACTGTTACATTTCTATTAAAGCTATTTTAGCTATAACAGTTTTTTGTTTTGTTGTAGGTGCTGTTCTCTGGTCCATTACTACTTCATTATTTGGATGGAGTTTGTGGCTTATACTTAAGTAAGTCCTCAAGATTTGTCTTGAATGTTTATATGATCTTTTAAACATGAGAAAGCTCTCAACCTGTTCTAATAAACTCTTCCAGACCTGCTAAATGTTATATGGTAACTAAGAATGTGTTATAACTGAGAACACTATATGCATGATGTGTTACCAAGTTAACACAACATGTTAAACTAAACAATGAGATGATGCATAATTCACAAACTTGCCAACAGAGAAGATATAAAAATGAATAACAAATAAGTAAAATAAACCTTCTTAACAGTGTTTAACTTTGAAGATAGTCCTAAGAGTAAGCCCAAATGTGTGCTATTAAGCATGATGTAATGAGTCTTACATTTATTTTGATGATATAGTTAATATTTAGTTACATTCTTTTTCTGTTATTAGTGTTTATAGTTTAAAAGATACGTTTAAGCTTTAAAAGCAAAATGAAAAGCTTTAGTGTAACTCAGAAACATATTTTAGTAAGTTGAAATTAACAGATTATATATACAGATTCAAAAAAAGTTCTGGTTAATTTCAGTACACTCCAAACTAAAACGTTAGTCTCTGTGAATTTCCTGAACTTATCTTGAGCATACTATGACACTCATAATCCTCTAGTCGGAAAGATGAAATAGTCAAAACAATAACACTGATTTAAACCTTATAACTTTTAATACAAGTGAAGATTTATCGATATTTAGCTAATCACTGTTTCTCAACCTTGGTTGTCATGGTGGGATGTAATTACCTATATCTCATTTTTGAGAAGCCATAGGTTAGTGAATAAACACATAATGAAAGCTCTTTTTCAATTTTTTCTTCAACTATTTAAGCCAGTTTGGTTTCTAGTTCAACCAAATATCATGTAGGGATTGGAACAAAATAATAAAAGCTTAGCTTCGTGTTATTTTGCTAGCAGAAAAAGATGTATGTGAACAACCTCTACCCTAATTATTGTCTTCATTTTTTTAAACTGGCTTTATCATTTTATACTTCATTTGCATTATGTTGTTGCAGTATGATAGGGAAATAAATGTTTTTTGTGGAAGAAGATGAAGTAGGCTTTGCATTCAACCATATCAACTTCCATTTTACTGATAAGGCCACTTTTTGTTATTGGCCTAAGTAGATATTTGAATGAGCAAAGAAATCACCAAAAAAAACTTACTTTTTCAGAAACATCCACTTAACTAATGAACAATATGAAGTTTTGAAACAGCTATTTGTGGGATAATGAATTTATTTCTGTACAACATTTAAGGTACAAGTATATTCAAGCTGCAAGTATATCCATTCAAATAATTGAGTTTCTGATACTAGCTCCCCCTGGTTTTAAATGTAATTAACTTGATACAGATATAATTTATTAATGCTCCTGATGTTTTATTAATGTTAGGATTTAATTTTTTGGTTCTTAGTGCTTCCATATTTTTTCTTTTGTTTGAATTTTTCTCTGTATTCAATACTTTAATATTTTTAAAGTTTATTTTATGTTGTTTTTCAATCATATGTTCATTTATATTTGACTTTTTCATTTTTCATGTTCCTCGCATCTAATAAATATTTTTTCTACTTGTTTCTCCCATATAGAAACTTTTGTAGTCTAAACATTCTATTTCATAGACTGTGCCTTTACCATGTTTTTCATTATTATATAACTTTGGTAGAAAACTTTTAATGTTAGTTCCTGGTTTATTTACGAGTTTACTTTTTACATTTAATTTGTGTTTTTTTCTTAATCTGTACTACAATCTAAGTAATCTTTCACTAATAACATTTACAAATCGTATTGATCCATACATAGATTTTTTTCTCTTGCTCTTATTCGGTCTTTTGGTCAGTTCTTTTGTTCTTATATGTGTTCATTTTTTCTTGGTTCAGTGTTTTCCTGATTGTAACATTATTCTTTGTTTTGAAACATTATCTTATGTTTTTCTTGTTATCTTTGGTGCTGCTATTGTACATCTTCCTAATGTTCTGATTTTTACTTTTTTATCATGTTCAGAAAACCAGTTTACATAAGTTCTACCATGAGCCTTCTGCTGGAGAATTTCACACTGAATGTTTCTTTTTTCTTTATATTCACCTTTAGGAACTTTATACAGTCATTTTTTTTTCTATTGTGAATTTTTGTTTTTTAATATGATCAAAAAACAATCTCATTTCTTCTCTTTTAAAGGATATCATCAACGTATTACATATATCATCAACTTATTACATATATCATCAACTTATTATATATATCATCAACTTATTACATATATTAAATGAAACCTTATGATTAACAATTTAAAAAAATGTTAAATTGTTTATAATTTTGGTTTGGTAAAAAGTTTATAATTTTTGTATGTCAATATAAACACAATGAAACTGTATGCAAGGTTTATTAAATCAAATCAAAAATAAAATTTATAGGTTAAGAGAATATAAATATCACAAGAAAGTTTAAAAGAAACATAGAAAGACAAAAAATTAATTAATCGAAAACTACAATAAAAAATATCAAGTACAAGAATAAGACATTTTATATACATAATCTGTAAAAAGTTTATCTCAAGTTTCAAACTATTTCAGGCTGTAGATTTTTTTCAAAATGCAATAAAATATAGCAAATCAATGTACATGTGCATTTTAGAGTTAACTCTGAACTCTTTAGTGAACTTATTTTTATCTGAAATTCTGAATAATTTGATTGTTGTGTTTACGTTGAAATATTTTTATATAGTTATTCCTAAATGAAGAGTATTAGTTTTTGATTGTTTTATACTGTTTTTTTTTAATATATTTTTGTACATTTTTTGTTTGTGATCTATCTAAGTATCTTTTATCATTCTTGTGCCTCTATTTTTGTATTTAATTTCTCTAAGTGGGCTAAGTGTGCCCTAGTGGTTAGCATGCTGGACTGTGGATCCAAGAGTCCATTGTTCTTGTCCCATATTTGCTGCAAAATTGTGCTCCTTGCACTTTAAGAGTTGTGAATGTGTCATAAGAGTGACAGTCAAATTCCACTATTTGATTAGAAAAACCCAAGAGTTGGTGTTCGGTGGTGTTGATTAAATGCCTTCCAAATCAGTTCAAAATTAGGGACAGCTAGCACATATAATCCTTTGGCAGTTTTGCACAAATATCTGAAACAAATTTTAGTATTTTTTGTATGTGATAAATTTTATTTAAAATAATTGTTTAATTATCTTGCTTGTGATATCATAATTTATATCGAAATATGTTTCTATCTTTTATGTGTATTGTTTTACAAGTTTTGTTTTATATTTAGATATTTTTTCTTTTGTGTTTCTACATTGTTGTTTGCTCCCAGTTGGCTCAGTGGTAAGTCTCACAGCTTACGGTACTAAAAATCGGGTTCCGATACCTATCGTGGGCAGAGCACAGATAGCCCATTGTATAGCTTTGTGCATAATAATGAACAAACAAACACACAAATTCTACATTGTATCTTAGAGTTTTCTCCTTTGTACTTGTGTATTGTTGCTTGTATGGTGGGCAGAGCATGGATAGCCCATTGTGTAACTTTGTGCTCAATAACAGATAAACAAATTCCACATTGTAGCTTAAAGCTTCCTCATTTGTATTTATGTATTAATTGTGGTAGTAAGTTGCTTGGTTTGAATGTGAGCAACTATCTTTAGGTAAAAAAAAAAAAAGTTGAAACACATTTACAGTTTGAAAAAAAGTGGTATTACGGAATTCTGCTGTTTCATATGGGCAACATATGAAACATTTTAGCAACACCGTATCTCTAGTTCATAATTACTGCTCATGTTGTCTCGATTTACGTAACATTATCTGTTATGATACCAGTATCACATTTTAACCCAATACACTATGCAATACTTGATGTTATATTATAGGAACAAATACCCGTCTAGCTCTGGAGGCCACATATTCCTCCATGTATTAAGGAGACATGAATTTGTTGATGCCATTAAAAATGAATATTAGCATATCTAAAAAGTGTAGGATGTGTTCCTTCTGTGTTGATAAATGAGCATTTAGAAATTTCATCCTTTTATCTTAAGGATCTTTTGAGAGTTCTCATATCAATATATTACAAAGGAAAACCCAAAAGGACTAGTTGTAACACTAAATTTGTGTGTGTGTGTGTGTGAGAGAGAGGTTTAGGGCTTTTCCTTTGTTATATACAGTGGTAATTTAATGGGTTGTTCCTTTTCTTACTATTAATTTATATGATTTTGTATAACACTTTAGCCAGTTCCTAATTGTAATTATTTTTTTAATCTGCTGTTGTATTTTTTTATGCCTATGTTTAAGCTATACATTGTATGCAGAAATCATTGTGGTTACTCTGAGATACTAACTAGAAAGAAAGAAAATATATAATTAAACAGGTTGTTAGTGTTCACATCTAATAAATGGAAATTCAAATGGACAGTAGTGTATCACTCCACTGTGTTTTATTCTAGTGTAATCATGTTGTTTGAACTTCTAGATTAATATATAAAACAGCATTGTCTGCAAGTTTGATTGTAACTCATTTACTCTCATCAATTGGATTGATAAAGAAACTTAAACGTTTTGCTCCTGGTAAGATAGTAAAGAAGACATATTACCAGAGATATTGTAATCTTTTGGTTCTTAGATAAACATGTTACCAGAAGTAGGATAATCTTTTGGTTCTTAGATAAACATGTTACCAGAAGTAGGATAATCTTTTGGTTCTTAGGTTAACATGTTACTAGAGGTAGGATAATTTTGATTAAACGTGTTACAAAAGGGAAAATCTTTTTTTTTTTCTTAAATAAACATGTTAACAGAGGTAAAATATTTTGTTTCTTAGATAAGTGTTACTAGAGGTAAGATAATCTTAACTAAAGTGTTACAAGAGGTAAAATCTTTTGTTACCTAAATAAACATTTTACCAGAGGTAAGATAATCTTAACTAAAGTGTTACAAGAGGTAAAATCTTTTGTTACCTAAATAAACATGTTACTAGAGGTAAGATAATCTTAACTAAAGTGTTAAAGAGGTAAAATCTTTTGTTACCTAAATAAACATGTTAGTAGAGGTAGGATAATCGTTTCTTACCTAAATATATTAATGTAGTTATTTTTTAAGAATCCAGGTACTGGATGTCAAACTTGAGGAACTTAATATGGCTAAGGAACCATATTGTGGTAAGTTAAATGAGCAGTTCACATATTACATTTCATGGATTTGTGAAATTTATGGCATGTGTTATTGTCTTGATTATTTTGTACTGTTTTTATATTGATAAGAAAAGTATGTAAGTTATTATATTTTGTTATTTACTCTGTGTGAGAAGATCTTAAATCTAGTTTTAACAATGTTTTATTAATGATTAAAGATGCAATACTTTAGACATGTATGGCTTAATATTATATTATGTATATGTCAATAGTTGTGTAGATTCTGTAATCAGTGTTGATGCTGTATAAGGAAGAGCATTTTTTGTATCTAGTTCTGTCAGTAAAATTCTTGCAAAGTGTTACCAGTATCTTTTTTATATTTTTAAAATTTAAAGAACACATTCACTGAGCAATATTCACATGTTATTGATTAATATAAATAAATTAGTCAGCTCTTGTTGGAAGAAAATAAATTGGCATACATTTACACACACACACACACATACATATACAGATAGATGTATAAAGAAAATACAACAGTGTCTCATGAGTCATGGTAGATAAAAACAAAATGTGATCTAGAACTCCAGAAATAGTGGTGTTTAAGCCCAATATATTGCCATGGCAGCTTTGTTAAGGGCTTAAATAATGTTCTGTATATAACAACTAATGTTGATTAATGTCGTTTTAGCCCTTAATGAAGACCTTATGGGCTTTAATAAAGTGATTTCCATTAATTTTGTGTTTTAATATATCAGGGGCACTATGCTCCACTTTACATTGCAAAGCTTAAAGGAAAACGAAAGGTTCTTTCTTCTGTGTTGATTTTTTTAAATTCAAACAACTGAGCCAAAGCAAAATAGTAATGCATTTATAGATTGACAAATAAAGTAGTGGTAAAAACTATATAATAGAAACGATAGAATGTCTCCCAGTATTTACTGTAATAGGACCTTCACAATCTATCAGCTGTAATTTGTACATGAAAGCCTCACTTGTGAAATAAAATTAGCAGCAGATATGGGTTCTTACTCAGCCATGTAACTTGCCATTCACCAAATGCAGCTAGTTATGGAGAGCAGTTGCTCTTAACCGTATATGCACAGAGTAAATTCCATATTTGAGAATTAATTTTTACTAATAAATACCATACTTCTAAATATATTTAGTGTATCTTTATGAAATTTGGTAAACAATCCAAATATGTTGCACACAAAAATATCAGAATTTTTGATAAAGTATTTCTACTAAAGACTTGTCTGGGAATTTACTTTGGTTAATCAGTCTATTCTCAAAATAAATTTGTTTTTGATCTTATAGTTCACATATTTCGCTTACATAACCTTTAGAACCTCCTAAATGAATATGAAACTAAAACTTTATTTTTTCTATTATTTTCTTTATCCAACACTAAAAATAGGAAATAAATCCAACTTACCATTTTTTTCTCTCTAGAATGACACCATATTGTAACACAGTTACAGTTATTCATCCTAAAATATTCAGTCCTTTAAGTTTTTCACAACTGATTTCATTTAATGCTCTGTGAACCTTGTTTAACTATTAAACTAGCATAAGAAAGCAATAAATCACTGTGTGAGGGTATAGTACAAATTACAGTAAACAGATATTGAATTAAATCATGCACGAGCAGCTTGCATACATTCCTTGTGGAGAAACTGGTTTTATGTAACTTGTTTCTAATTTAAGTTTTCTTACCCAACCTAATAAATTTCTGCTTTTTCATTTTAGTTACTTTTATTACAAAAATTTAAAAATAGGTATAAAAAAACAATAAATTTAGTACTTATTTATGGGTTTTGTATTTTTTTGCACTTAAAGTTACAATAAAAGTTAACCATAGTTTTTGGTAGGGTTGTTGTTAGTATGTTACTTAATTTTTATTTATCTCAAATATGCAGTTTGGAACACAAAATAATAGCTTGTATAAAGAACACAATGTCCCGTAACTATTATAATTTAACTGACTTTTAACCAAACTGTAAGTATATTAAAATAATTATCTCACCTTGTGAAGGTGATCTCGGCGATAGCTACAGTCAATCTGTTGGCGGAATGGTTCAGAAGCTGTTGTCTGAATGAGCTAACCTAATATGGAAATCATTAAATTAAAATTTTCTCTTTCTGTTGGTTATAAATAGTTCAATAGCAAATCAAAAAGAAATATTGACAGTTAACATGTTTTGAAATACAGTAATATAGGAGGGTGTGGCATGTGGGTTTGACTTCCTGTATTGTATATATCTATCCTATAAATGTCTCAAAAGCTCAAATAGAAGTAGAAAGAATATCAAAAATGAGCAGTTTGAAGTGAAGAGAGAGAAGTATTCCATGATACAGTAAAGTGAAGATTGGGAATTTATTTAAATGTTTTCTTTAAAAATGAAATAGTTGAAACTTGTAAAATATTAAAATTTGAATAGGAACTACGTTTTGATGCCGAGATCATCTAAATACATTGATGATAAAGTTATTTAATTAAATTTGGAACTTAGCTTTGTGAAAGGTCATATCATGTGCACTTTGATCCCCACTTGTACACAGGAAAGAAAGAAAAATGTTACATTAAATAGACTAGCAGAATAATACTGATCTTCTGAAGTTGGCATTTCAGCACCTATAATGGTCACATACTTGTATAAATCCTTGTAATTCCAATATTACTATATCATCCAACCTCCCTTATTTTACATAGCTATTCATATTATGCACACAAACTTGTCAGTCATCACTACTTTGGTGTGTAGTGAGAGCAAAACAGTCATATAATCAAAGTAACCTATTATGTGAAATATTTGACTGTTTTTTTCCAATACAATATCTTACCTCTTCTCACAAAATAGCTTTTCTCAACCAGCACTACCCTCTATTAGCACAAATTTTCAACACGCTACTCACCTTCTGCTTCTGATCATGCAGCACTTCTCCACCAATAAGAGGGTGACACCACTCCTATTGTAACCAGCACCCTCTTTACATCCGCATATCTTCATGCAAATGATCATGCAGCAGTTTTCTACCAATAGGAGTGCGACACCTCTCCTATTGTAACCAGTGCCCTCTTCACATCCATACTCGTTAATCACTTCTCAATTGGCATTAGTACTGTACAGATGTGCTAGTTTTTGCTTGTAGATTTGTTGTAATTTGCTACTGCTGACTTTGTCTTTCTTTACTATTAATTAAAATTTTTTCTTTTTGGTATTGTGAAAAGTTGCTTTTTTTTCAAACTTTTCTTACTTTTTCAGGGGTCTTTTTGCTAAAGTACTGTGGATCCCACCCTATGGCAAGTGGTGCCTAATCAGGTATACTTTGTTCTTTGAAAATTTGCACTGTCCATCTTGCAACAATGCGCAGTTATGTTCTAGCTCTTCCTACCATGGACCTGATGTACAATTCCAAATGGTGCCAGGTGTTGGTTGTGTGTCTCCATTACATTGTCATCTATGCCTAAACAATTATGTTATAGGTTTGGGTTGTGCTCACTGTAGAGATTGGATGTTCTGTGAGACTGCTAGTAGTTCTCTCTAGTGGATTTTTGCATCATAAAGCAGACAGCGATTGTTGGCCATTTCTGGTGCTCCGTGGCTTTGAGAGTCTTCCTATTGATGTACAATTCTAGATGCTGCCAGGTTTTTTTTATTGACTCCATTTACATGGTAGCTCTGCTTTTCAAAATAGGGTATTGCAGTCACCTGTTACACTGTCTCCAGTGATGCAGTACTCTGGACTCTCCAATGCATTTTTCCTCCCTTTCTTCAAGTAGAGTATGGGAGTTCTTACCACTTACTAGCTGCTGGGGTGTTGGATCATGGAGACCTGTCTTCCTGAGTGATGAATCATACCACGTAGTTGAGAGTAGGGCAGTGGCATTCTGCAGGTGTCGCTTCCTTGTGCAAACCTGATGTACAATTCCAGATGCTGCCAGGTTTTGGTTGTAGCACTATATCATATTCTTGTCTATATATCTAACTGAATATTTTTCCTATTGTGATATTCCTCCTTCCAACTATCCACCAGATGTACATTCCTGGTTGGTCTAGTTTTGGTTGGAGATGGTGCACCTAAGTAAATCCTCACATGTGTACTAGCCGTTATCCCTCCTCCTACTGCAGATTGGATAACAAATGCTCACTGCCACCAGGTTTTGGACTGGAGATTCACCCCAGGTTTGCAGTCCCTCTTCCTATCATCTGCTGGATGTCAGTTCTCAGCAGATCTGGTGCTGATTTAGCTGGTTGCAGCACATGTTCTCCTATTTGTATATGCCTGGATATCCTCCTCCTACTGTAGACTTGAAGTACCATACTCATTGGTGTCAGGGCTTTCCACCTTCCTACCATCTGTTTGATGTTGGTTCGCAGCAGACCTGGTGTTGGAAATGCGTGCATGTGGTGACATATTTTGGTTCGGAAGCTCATTTTCCCTACCAATTCCTGTTTTGAGGTGGAGAGGTAGGTGATACTCTACCTACTGTGGATGATCATCATTTGCATGTGGATATGCAGAAGCAAGAGATGGAAGGTTAGTGACATGCATTGAAAATTTGCACCAACAGAGAGCAGTGCTGGTTGAGAAAAGCTATTTTTGTGAGTGGAGGTAAGTATCTATCAGAAATACATTTTCAGTGTAGGAAAGTGCTAACTTACAAACTTCACTAATGTTATTTTGAATTGAAAGTATTACTTCATAATATTTACAATTAAGCATTATTATAAATTCTAATAAGTCATGTTTTTGAAAACCATTACAATGAAGTCATGACTAAAAAGTGTCTTAGAGAGAGAGAGGATATTTGAGTTCTATACACATTTTGCAAGATATAAATGACTATGAAATAAATGTTTTTTAGGTAAAAATGAAAGAATGTCACTAATTTTTAAATGGAGTTTGCGGATTTGGAAAGAAAATTTTGTGAAATATACTTGAGTCGATAGAACCATTTCTTTATGTGTTTGGATAGTATATCATGACTTAACTAAAAATTTTCTTGTGATAAATTTGTTACTTCTTATTGTTAAATTTTTAGTATTGATTTACTTTAGATCAATTTTCTTGTGATATGTTTTTTACACTTTATTGTTAAATTGTTAGTATTGATTTACTTTGGATCAATTTTCTTGTGATATGTTTTTACATCTTATTGTTAAATTGTTGGTATTGATTCACTTTGAAACAGGCTCCATTTTCTGAAGAGTTTACTTTTCGAGCCTGCATGCTTCCAATACTGGTGCCTTGTTTTGGTGCTTCACTTTCCATTGTTATCTGCCCACTTTTCTTCGGAGTTGGTGAGAATATTAAGTTTTTGTTTTCATTAACAACAATCATAGCTGATTTTTCTTATTTTAAACTTACCTGCTACACTAACTTAGAAACTGACATAGTTAAATATAAAAACTCATTACATTTAGCTTTATGAATGAATTGGACATACCTGTAAATGTAAACACAGTAAATTGAAAGTTTCAATCAAGATGTGCATAGAAGCTGGACATTCCAGTAGATCAGATTAAGGTAAACATTGAATTATAATTTCAAGAACAATGTAGACAAAAGCAACCTAATCTTTACCATAATGGATTTCAAGTAATCAAAATGTAATAAAATGTTTGACTTGAAACTATATATTAATGACAATCATTAATGATTAAAAACTAGAATAAAATACCTATGTTGTGCTTTGGGGTTCAAAGGCCCTCTTGTGATTTTCAGATAAAGGCTCCAATATACCAATCAAGCTTCTTCATTATCTCTAGTTACTTCTATAGCTACCCCAAAGATGGATCCATACCTGAAAAACAAAAGCAAATGGGACACCTGCCCATGGTATGTGAGCATGTGTCCCAAGTTTGTTCCTGTTAGCTTGTGAGTGTAGTATGAGCACCATTTGAAAAATGGTGCTCCTGGAAATCCCGATAGGAGACAAGAACACAAAATCTGATGCCAGATTAGAATTCAGCAATCCTGCAAATCAACTAACAGACCCAAATCATACCTGGGTGAACTTTCAGTCATGTTTCAGCCCCTTGGCACTCCAAATAAATAAGGATAAGGGTACCATGCCATATGGATATAATACACAAACCCCAGGCCATCCTGAGTCTGCCTGGCAAATTTGGTCTTGGCATTTTCAAAACTAAGGAAGGAGTTTGTGAGAAATATATTCACAAATAAACAACATGAATTAATATAGGATACCAGTTTCATATGACATTCATAAGATTTTAAGTTTTTATTTTACACTTTCTCTCAAAAAATGTATCATTATATTAATATTAATGTTTTTTATAAAAATTGAGAAACTGTTTTAAAAAGCTTAGGCTTATTTTCATTAGCTTTGGGAAGGCACAAATAAAAAAATCTTCTGTCATTAGATTAAAGAAACAGTTCATTGAACAGTTTTCTTTACTGTATCTATATTATTATCTAGACATCTTCAGGATTCTTAGAATTTTCTGATTTAACTTGGTTTTGTTTTAAACTTGTAATTGAATTTTTTGCAGCTCATCTACATCATTTAAGAGAAAGAATGGAGAGATCAACTAATACCACACATGCTGTGTTTCAGTCATGTAAGTCGTTTATTAATACCATGTTTCAATCATATAAGTAGTGTGTAGTAATGCTGAACATACTATGTTTTAATCATGCAAATAGTTTAAAACAGCTGTGTTTCTTTCATGGTAAGTAGAGTCTAGTAATTTCATCTTTCAGTCATGTATATAGAGTGTAGTAATGCCATGCATTCTGTATTTCTGTCTTATTAAGTAGTATTTATTAACGCCCTGTTTCAGTCACATAAGTAGAATTTAATAATGCTATTCATACTATTTCAATCATATCTGTAGAGTTTAGTAACAAGATTATTAAAAATTGTTAATTTAAAAATGGGGAATAGGGATCATCAAAAAATACAGAAATAAGATAAGTAGCTTAAAGTGAAAATAAAATTGCCAAAAAAGTCAACAAACAAGCTTAAGGTTTGAGACATAGTGTTGACGTTATCTACTTAAGTTACAAATCCTTCTGACTCTCCTAAATATTACAGCTTTTAGACATGGAGTCAAAATAGGGATTTGTAGCTTGAGGAAATAATGCCAACACTATGTTTCAAACCTTAAGCTTGTTTGTTTACTTTTTCACTTTAAGCTACCTATCTTGTTTCAGTATTTTTTTGATGATCCCTATTCCCCATTTTTAAATTAACAATTTTTAATAATCTTGTTTCTTTAGTTTTTTATGTCCATGATGGACATAAATATGTATATTAACAATACTGTCCTATTTGAAATAATGAAATACGTAGTTGGTGTATGATGCTCTCTCGGAAAGCAATGACAGCCTCTTGATTGGCTTCATGCAGATTGGATGGCTATTGCTCCTGATATCATCGTCACAATGTTACCATTCATTGTGTTACTGTATGTATGATTAATATGATTCATGGTGATCAGCATACCACATGTTATGTATATGTTTGTAAAATGTATATAGCTACTATATTTATATCCTGTAGCTATATGGTAAACACTAGATTGGAGAAACTACTAAACTATACTGGTATGGTGCATGGACTAGATTTTGTAACCGCATTAGTTTTATAAATGCATGTTAGCTAATATTTTTATATATATATATATACATATATTTATATACATGCAGACTTTAGTTTTTTAAGTTGTATATAAGACAATGTATCATAATATAATAGGATATTTATACAAATAAGCATTCTTAATATTTCTTATAGTTGTTATATTTTCTCTTACTCCTCTCCGCTGGCCATAGGTCACAGTTTTGCTGCAGCTGGCCAGATTTCCTCTTAGAGTGATATTCTGCACACTCTACAAGGTGGAAAACATGTTAATTAACAATTAACCTTTCCCCTCTCCATTTATGATGGAGTTTGGGTCATGACATTTCTGTGACTCTCTTCCACTGTGACAACCCTAAACCCTGTTGGCCCATCACTGTTGCAAACTTTATCAGAAACTAAATATTTTCTAAGTACAATGTATATCTACAAAACTGCTGTCTCACTTACACCTAGAATCACCGTCATTTTTGCATCTCCTGCTTACACAATTCTTTCCACTCCTTATAGTCAACTTCAAGGATGGCTACTCTATTTGCAGTATCTATAAAATTCTCAATCATGTAGCATTGGCTGTAATTCGACACTTGCCAACAGCAGTTACTGTGATTGCTGATCCGGTGCTCGAAACTGAACTTGTTGCTATCTTTTAAACTACGGCTTAAAGATTTCTGTTGTGGGAGACAGCCTAGACGTTTGTATAACATGGCTGAAATCAATCATGCAGGAGTAAAAAAAAGTGATTCTGTGAGCAGTTTTGTGTCTAGAAAGGTAGGAACCCTATATATAAATTATATGCAACATCAATACAGTTGCAACAATAAGTTAATAATCGCTGTGGTACATGTGTCATGCCTGTCATATAAACATTAAATTACTTACACAGGTATGTAGTAGACTATGAGGCTCCTTGTAAATGACAGACTACATTGAAACAATTGGGTGTGAACTGTTATTTGATAGATAATCAAATAAACTTAAAAACTACTTTACACATTGTGCAATGATGCATTTAGTAATATTGCCCAGGTTTAATTACAATACTCACAGCCATTTTTGCTTTAGCCTATTGGAACAGTATTAAATAATAATAACAAAGAATAAATGGGTGATCCCTATTATGAACCACTACCATGGTTTACAATACCATGTATACTGTGTTTCAGTCATGTTAAGTAGAGATTAGTAATACCATGTTTCAGTCATGTAAATAAAGTGTAGTAATACCATACATGCTGAATTTTTATCATGTTAAGTAGAGTTCAGTAATTTCATGTTTCAGTCATTTAAGTAGTTTAGTAATGCCATGTATGTTATGTTTTTATCATATAAGTAGAGTATGATAATGCCATGCAAACTGTTTCAGTCATGTTCAGTAGAATTTAGTAATGTCATGTGTACCATGTTTCAGTCATGTTGAGTTAGTTAACATGATATATGCTGTGTTTAGACATGTTCAGTAGAATTTAATAATGTCATGCATGCCGTGTTTGTCTTGTAAGGAGAGTTAAGTAATGCCATGTGTTACTGTACCATGTTTCAGTCATGTTGAGTTGAGATAATTAACATCATACGTGTTGTGTTTCAGACATACAAGTAAAGTTTAGCAATGTTCATCAAGTTACAGAAGTGTACTTTCTCTAAACACCTTTAGAATTTCATGCATGTACTTTTCTAGAGATTAGGAAAGAGTTGTCCAAAAGTTGGTAGTGGTTGTTGTTGATGTTGCCTTTTCTCAGTTCTATCAGTTCAGAGTTAGAGACAGCTTTGTGTTAATAATCCACGTGTGCAATAATTCTAAAATTGATAGTCCCACTAACATCTGTGAACTATTTATGTACCCTGAATATTACATTTAATCCCACTAATTACTACTGACTTTATGTGCTTTAAATAGAAAATGAAGAATTTCATTCTCTTTTTACTCAGTTCTTTAGACTGTATATTTTTACAGACAAATACGTGTATTTACTCAGCATATTACAATACATGGATCCTGCTAGTAGTGAATGGTATAAAAAAAGTTTTGTAATTTCAGTTTTGTTTTTGTTTTAAATGTTTCTATAATTGCAACAGTTCTACATTTAAAATAATGGTCTTCTTTATTTTCAAATTATGTTGATATCTTGATTATTGTTTCTTGCATTATTTTTTTCTATTCTATCAATAAGTATGCAATTTTGTAAAATCATCGGGGTGGCCTTATGCAGGTGGAAGTGGTGCAGTAGCACCAGGACCCGTGCTCGTAGAGGATCCACACTGAATAAGGAATTCTTTATTTAATTTTCATTTTCCTATTTGGCCTCTGACCTCTTTTGTATTCCATACTGTTAATTATAGATACTATTGTTATTGTGTAAATAATTAAGTTTAATATTATGCTAGCCAAACTCAAGATAGTGGTAACAATTGTCCATTGACAAAAAGCTGATGTATGAATAGTTGTCACATATCTTCTGTTTAAGTACAGTTATAACTTTAGCTATTCTTAATTGAAAAAAAAACAACTTGGAAACCATCTAATCAAATTAAACTGTGAAGTATTACATAATATGAGGTATTTTATTTTGATGGTCTTTCATTTAAAGTTTATCAGATTCATATAGGGGTAGTAGAGTTGACAGGTTTGTCATGATGACATAATTATACATTTTTTTCACTGTGTTCACCCCATGCATTCTTAAATTTGCACAGGCCCCTGTACCAACCTAAGGCCTCCTCTAAACTCATACAAGAAAAATTATGATTATAAAATAATTATCTTGTGATATAAAACATGGCCTAAGCCTGTCTTTTTTTTTTCTTTAGTATTTCAGTTTCTGTATACTAGTCTGTTTGGAGTCTACTCAGCATATTTATTCTTGAGAACAGGTGAGTATTCTATACCTCAACAAGTGTCATTACTAGTGAAGTAGGAAAAGGGGGAACCCTCCCTTCCCAATATTTAAAAAAAATGTTTGAATTTTAGGGAGAGAGAGAAAGGGTCAAACATGTAGTACCTCTGGAGTTATTATATAGAAAATCTGTAACTTCTGTGATGTAGTGGACACCATGCCACTCATCAGCTATCAGTCTGCAGGGGTATGTTCATGGAATCAAGTGCATGTGCTGCAGGGCGTGTAACACCTACACACATTTTGTTCCCTCGTATCAAAAAATCTTTCTACTCCATTATATTTTCTTTGAATGAACAAGCTTCTCATCAGTGGGTAGAAATAGGTGATGCAGTTGTCCCTGGGTTCCATTTTACTGGGGAGTGAAAATTCCACCAAAAACTTTACAAGTTTTATGTAAAAAATGTAATAATAAAGTAAGATTTCTAAATGATAGAAAACAATAAATTGAACAAGTTCTCAACTTCTCTCTTTTAACAGTCTTCAAGTTAACTGATAGGCAAGAACAGATTTTTGAGTTTGCCCTCCAATGGCTAAGCAGTAAGTCTGCAGGCTTAAGATACTAAAAACCAGGTTTTAATACTCATGGTGAGCAGAGCACAGATAATCAATTGCGTAGCTATTTGCTTAACAACAATGAAACCAAGAACAGGTGTAAAAAATACTTTAACGAATGTGCATAAATCAATTAACACTGAAAAATATTCAGATTAGTATAATATAAAGATTTACAACAACTGAGAAATATATACAGAGACAAGTTGATTTTAAAGATAGAAGCTGAAAGCTTGGCCAGTGAAATGCTAAAAGTAAAGATTAAAAACCCCATTGACCTACTGTTATCATTATTTAACGAGATATGGCAGTGTTGTGTTAAGATTTAGGAATGGCCTCAGTGATTTAATGTTCACCCCAAACAGTCTAATGCACTAATTTTTTTTTTTTTCGTTATGACCTTAATCTCAACTAGTTTGAGGTCAGCTAGTAATTTTGTAAGCTAATACTTTTTACACCCGGATGGTTGACCCAATTTGCAACCATATAGGATGGATGAGCAAGTTTGACAATGGGGATTCGAACTTGTGAACTCTAGATCGTGAGTTGAGCACCCTAATCACCAGGCATGCTAGGGCCCTAATGCTCAGTACTATGAGAATTTTCAAGTAATGGTTGATGAAATCATTATTGGATTGCAGTGTTTTTAAAATATTTGTATAATTTTTTGTTAAAGAAAATGTATTTTGATATTAGGTGATAAGTTGACAGAGAAATGGCTTGGTAATGAAGAAAAGGAGAAGAAATTATTGTATACGTGAGATTGTGGGAAAAGGATTAGTGGGTGAGGGAATAAGAAAACCTTGCCCCAAAGACTTGCTTTGCCACTCTTTTTCATCATATTGTTTAATCTGCTAATTGTATAGAAGAACTTTTATCGTTCATAAGTTTGTAACCATGGTTACCAACATGATGACTGTCATTTGTAGGTATGGCTACTGAAATGGATAATACTTGTGTAACTATCATGGATAAGTGTTATATTTGTAACCATGTTTACTGATATTAATTTTGATTACTGAAGTGACACATTTGTAACTGGTTAGTTGTATGATGTATCTGTAACTATGGTTTGTTTATTCTGTTGGATATTATAGCATCTCAGTCTAGTGTTAAGTGTAGAATACTGGTTAGGAGGCTTAAAAACTTTTAAGCATGATTATGGGAATATAGTAATGAATTAATTCTTATTAATTAGTGTAATAAAATACCTAACTGTGGTTGCTAATATAATGATACAACATTCTAATTATAGTTTTCAGGATCCAACATTATTTGAACTGTTGTTACCATTTTGATACTCGATATTAAATTCTGGTTCATAATATGATTCAACATCCTTGGTTATATTTATCAAGTCTTAGTTTTATTTCAGTATAATCTGTTGTATCTTTGTAGTAAAATGAAATATTTGGGAGAAAACCAACCTTAAATGGTTTCTGTACGTTAAAATGACTGCAAAATGTTGTTATCTTATACTTGAATAAATTTTTGTTCTTGTTTTTTTTCCAACTTTGAAAATTCTATTTCAAAATAATAATAATGATAAAGGTTGGCAGCTCTGAATTGTTATTTGATTTAATTTTTTTACATTTTTTTAGGTCATTTTATGGCACCGTTTATAGCACATGCTTTTTGTAACCACATGGGCTTTCCCGATTTCATTGAAGTGTTAAGCTACAAGCAACCAGTCCGTACCTTTTTAGTTATCTTGTTTTTGCTGGGTTTCTTTGGGTGGTTGGTATTACTGGAACCACTTACAAAACCTGCAATATTCAGTAATTTGGTATATGTCTGAAATTATTTTTATAAATGAAAAGTATTTCTTTCACACTAATATTTATTTTGAAGACTGTTTAAAAATGTTCATTTCATTCATCATTGTAAGAGACTTTGCATAATTTGCTGTTTTTATGATACAACTTACCTATATTGTATTAGAAACATATGTTAACATATCAATAGAGTTTATGGAAGAAATAAGAGCTACTAAAATATGTATGCTGGAAACATTTATTTGTACTAATTGGACAGAAAATCCACCAAGTACCACCTATAGCTTCTTTTAAAAATTTAAAAAATTTTTTCAATAATAACAGCGTATGACAGTAATTAATCATTTTGCTAGTATCAAAATAGCTGAAAACGTCAAAACTATAAATCTTCCAGGAATATTATATAGAATTTATAGCAACAAAAATTATTTGTTATTTTAATAATCAGTAACAAAAAATGTTAATATGAATTTTTTCATCATTTTAATACAGTGTTATCTCAAAAACTATAAAAAAAACACAATGGGATAAGCTAGTATAACATGTAAAGATTTATCTAGTATAGAGGCAGCTGAGTTGGTTGTATTTTAATTGTGATATACAATTAAAATTATCACTTCATCATGATAAAGAATTAGTTTTGTCGTTGATCTTAAAATGAAAATCACACAGGGTATTTTTTAAATCCAGTTAGATTTGTACCTGGAGCTCCTTGGGCACAAACTTAAAGTAAGAAATGTAACATAAACTTTATAAGCCCGACTTCATTTTTTATAGGTTATTCTAGAAATAAAGATATATGTATAAATGATTTTTTCCATGTGAATTTTTGTTTTCTTTATTTGACTACAGTTTGCCAGTGATGAACTTTGAGATTGATTGAGTAGGATAAGTAATGCAAAAATCATCTTTGTTAAGTTATCAGTGTTTTAGTTATGTTCCTTCAGCATATAACTTTACTCCTTTGATGAATTGTCGAATAAGAACACGTATCAAATTTATTTGCAACAATGAGAGAAAAATTATTACAAGTTTAAAGTTACTTGAATATAAAAACTAATGAAAGGAGTTAATAGTTTACTTGTATATTTTTTATTTGCATTATAAAAGAAAATGCATAGTTTACTGACCAGCTAAAAAATACCAAGTAGTTGTTTCTTTATTTTGAAGAGTCATGTTATATAAAGAAATAGGGGAAAAAAAAAACTTGAGGCATCTTGTGAGGGCTGTCCTAGCTTTTGGTCTCATAACTTGCCACTAGACTGTCAAAAAGTCCAACTGAATACATTGGTTTGATCAGTTATAGTCCTCTACTCTCAATTTTAAGTATTTTTATCAATCAGTCGTTTATTTTCACAGCCATATTTAAACATTCATAGTTTCATTCTCAAGACTGGATACTTTATTTTTGGTGAAAATTTAATAAAAGAAGCTTGCGTTAATAACATAATAGGCCTCACAGCTTTTTATAGTTTGTATTACACAAGAAAAGCTAGTTTTCATAAACAAAAAATACGACAAGTATTAACAGAAACCAGTACTGAGTCTTGAACGAGTTGTTTTTTAACTAGGTAAAACACATTTGTGTCAATGCAATGCTTACACAAAGCACATTTTTGTTATAAGTCAATCATTTATATATTGATTCTTTTTGGGCATCCATTAATAAGAAACAATAATTATATAAATCATATGTTCTAATTTTTTTTTATTTAACTTTATACTACATTCCAGAAATAAACTGACTCAGTCCAAACACAAAGTAATTTCATTTATTTTTATACAAGCAAAAGTACCCGTCCCCAGTGACGAAAAAAGGTTTAAGTTAATCTACGAACTTAAATTATTTCATGGACTTTAAAAAGGTTAATTGTGTTGCACTCTTGGTTTCACTCAGAGTCGAAGCTCTCAGTTACTTATACTACCACGGAAAGTAATTGTTCAGCTAAAAGCCACTCAACAATAACATGTGGTAAATCAACATTTTTATTCTTTAAGTTACGTCACATTCTGAAATGTAAATGATGGTGTGATTAATTCCTAACAACTTAGTGTACAATATCCTGCTTGCAAAACAAAATTTAGCATCGGCATTATCCGTGCCTGTTCTCCTGTCATTTCAAAATGGAGTGTTGAGGTTTGCCTCCGTGCACAACTTTTCAAACACACCGCGGGAAGTAGCCGCCGTAAGCGGGAGACAGATGAACGCTCGAACAGACACCATGATTCGCAATATGTATAATACATATATATATATATATATATATATATATATATACAAATATGCCATTTGAATAGTCTTTCCTGAAATGTAAATTGTACAATATCAGACATAATTGATATTCGTTTACTGTCGTTTGAAAATACTGAATTGTGATATGTGTATTAATGCATTAGTAATAATGAACAGTGGGTAAGCAGTACGTTTACGGACTCAAAAGGGCTGAAATTCTGAGTTCGATTCCCCACGGTGGATAAAGCACAGTTCGTCCATTGTATAGCTTTGCGCTAAAACAGTAATGATCGGGTTGTTAAGAGTGATTTTCTTTGTAGTAAAAATAATTGCATTTTCAACTTAGCATATGTAAAATTACAAAACCAAAAAAACTATTTTTTTTACTGACTTCAGTTTGGTAATGTTTAAAAAAGAAAAGTTTTGGTGAGTTTATTTTTAATGTAACAGTCGAAAGCATTGAGTACTCAACTTTGTATTATGTAGCATCTAAATATTAAAATGTTCTATGACAATAAATTAATTAAAAACTGCATGATTTTCTCAAAATACAGCAACAAATAAACGATCATTCAAAGTTTTGATCAAAGAAAGGTTATATAAAATGCTTAATTGTACTTTAATCATGATATTCTGGTTATAAGGAGGTAGATCTTGAGCAAGTAAAAATTTAATACATGTGGTAGAGACTGGATCGTCTTACCACATGTATTAAGTTTTTACTTGCTCTGGATTTTGTCTTTACTACATGTATTAAATTTTTACTTGCTCTGGATCGTCTCTACCTCATGTATTAAGTTTTTACTTGCTCTGGATTGTCTTTACTACATGTATTAAATTTTTACTTGCTCGTCTCTACCACATGTATTAAGTTTTTACTTGCTCTGGAATCACAAGCTGTCACATCCACAGAAAGCCTTACCAGCCCACAATTATCTTTTACACGGTTAATAATTTGGCCATTCCTTCTGCAAAATATTAATAGATAGATAGAAAAACTGTTGGGTACATAGTTCGCGTGTGGAAACAGAAAATTTAACAACAAGGCAACATTATTTCATGAGTTTTGTCCCACATTTAATTTTAGGAAATTAATATTTCAATAAACTTTTTCTTTACATATTTTTAAATTATTGACGTTAAAAAAATATTATGGGGGCATGCTGTAAATATAAATACCGATCAGGAAAAGGAAAATTACAATTCGAATATTGATAAACAGCCACAAGTCGTGTTTTACAAACTACACGTACATTTCACTGTTATGGAAAGTAGTTTATCACACGTGAATGAGAGGCTTAATAGATGGGAAATTATATTAGTAGTAAGATTAGTGAAACAGGCACACTTATGACAAAAATCTATAAAGTGAAATGTGAGAAAAATTTGGTTAAGATTAATAATCTTCGGAGAAATTATGATCAAAAGCATATAAAGCCTGGGTATTTGTCGATTGTGGGATTGTTTAATTTTATAACATACTTCATGTTCGTGTTTTAGTATGGTGACATTGTGTTCAGAAAAACTGTGCTTGTTTTGTTCATGAACGTGGAAATGGCATTTTTGGTGTTACAGTGGGCCCTCCTTCAACACGGGGGGTACGTTCCTTGAGCAAGCCGTGTTGGAGTAACTCAATACCTTATAGGGGTACGAGAACACAGCCGCATCAAGTTTTCGATAAATGTTTATATAGGGATTGTTTTACACGTAAATGAAAATCCTTGTCTATACAGCATTGTATATGAACTAAAAATATAAAATCATAAACATAATAACACACACGTGATATCCTGCACCTGTAAATGAAATAATACAGCACTGCACTTCATTGTAACACTCACCTATGAAGGATGAAGAGGAAGACCTTTCGTTGATGATGACAATAGATTTGGAGGCTGACAGGTTAATTGAGGCCATGAATCATCGGAAAATTCGGCCTCAAGCTCCAATGAAGTAGATGTAGAAATCAATGGGATAGGGTCAGAAGGTGTTATGTCGGCTGACCTGGGCTTCATAAAGTTAATAATTTTCGGCTGTTTGGCTTTCCTCCGCAAATCTTTCATTATTTCTCTGTGGGTGCTAGGATGTCATTAAACCCTCTTTTAAATTTAATGCTTCTCTCCATTGTGGGATTCATGTCTTCAGCCATTTCTGCGAGCTCATCTGCCTTGCAGAGGAAATCGGACACAGCCTTCGCTGTGAGGATTGGTTTAGCAGGTTCTGTCTGGTAATGGGATTCCAGCAGCTCAATCATCTTCTCATCCCTCATATTATCAAACCCCTCACCTTCATTTTCTTTAGCGAGTCTCACCATATCGGCAACTGCCTTCTCAAACATCGGAAATCATTTGAAATCGTTCACATCTTCAGGCCAAAGATGGTGCCAGCGTGGATTTATGGTAGACTCTTTCATTTTGTCCCATGACATTTGGTGATATCAATACAGCCCTTAATGTTATAAGTTTTCAAAACTTAGTTAATGTTTCGAAAACACCAGAATCCATAGCTTGGGTTGCACGTCGGTAGACATTCCTTGTTTGGTAATACTTGAATGTATTTATTACTCTGGTCCATTGGTTGCAGGATGGATGTGGTATTGGGAGGTAAAATTATTATCTTTACATTAGGATGGCTGAATTGCATTGTGTCAGGGTCATGGACAGGAGCATTATCTAAAACTAGAAAAACCTTAAAGTCAAGGTTCTTTTTAACCAGGCATTCTTTAACCTCATGCACAAAATGATTTTGGAACCAGTCATTGAATAGCATCCTAGTTACATAAGCCTTTTTATTTTAACACCAAACAACAGGTAAATATCGTTTATTCTAGCCTGGGTGGGAATTATGGGATTTATGCGCGTGGGTTTGTGGAGAGATACATTAACATAGGCTCAGGGCCAGATTAAGGCGAGGGCTGGTGGCGCTGCAGCTCCAGGTCCACCACGCTAAAAAAAAAAGACATCCATTAGAAAATATATGCATTCCGGCATCAACAATAGATTCAGTATTTAAAAAAAATCTGAAAACACATGTGTCCCTAGTCATCTGCGACAGGCCTAAATTTATTACAGAAAAAACGCTAATGAGACATATACACAATTTCAGATTATCCTTTAATAGAATATTATTTAGCGACTAGAACTGCATGTGACACGAAAATAACGAAATTTGTCTAGCATGCCAAAGCTATGTCACGTCTTTAAACACATGTCTGTCAGTAGTGGACACAGGAGCGGGGTTACAGGGAGTTTGAACCCTACCCTTTTCGATGCAAACTGTCCTAAATATGCAACACGTTTTTCATTCTTTTTGGATTTTCTAAAATCTGATAAAATAATCATTATAAAAATTTAAAAACAACTCCTTATATAAATGGCATTACGTCATTTTCCCTTTGC